ATTATTTCCACACTCTGTTGGGTCACCTTTCTTTGGAATGGGAACAAATATAGATCTCTTCCAGTCAGTTGGCCAAGTGGTTGTTCTCCATGTTATCTCTTATAGTTTGGCTATATTATAAGGAGGGGCCAGTCCTTGGAGAAGGACATCATGTGTGGTAAAGTGGAGCGTCAGTGAAAAAGGGGAAATCCATCAAGAAGGACTGAATGATACAACTGGCTTCAACAGTGGGCACAAACACAGCCGTGCCTATGAGGATGGAGCAGGACTTGACAATATTTGGTTCTGTAGAACCTTGAGCTAAGAATCAAAATTGCCTCAACCAGACACACCTTAGTACTCAAATTGACATCATTACTCCTTAATACTCCTGGTGCATAGATCAATAAATATTCTAAGCATTTAAAAAAAGAATAAAAATCAATTTATAATAACAGATCCTGGTTAAACTTATTGGAAACATACTGACTTGTTATTTCCAAAGAGAAGTCCAAGTACTTGATCTGAGCTATTAAAATATTAAAAATTGTAAGTGATAATAAAATTATTATCTCTTCCCAAGACTCTATTGTTACTGTTACCTACACTGACACTGAACGCGTTCTCAAACAGACAAATGTTTTAAGAGTGAAAGTTACCTATGATAATCTGGAACAGGGGCTGCGTTGAGGGGAGGGAGGGGAGAGGAAAAAGGAAGGGAGAGAAGAAAGCATGCAACAATGGAAAAGCATTTTTGTTGTTTTTTTAAAAAGTAGAAATAAAAACTATTAGCCAGCAAAGAGGAACGGAAAACCAATGTCAATTTTGATAAATTATTTTCTAGGAAAGTTGTCACTTCCACAGCTGTATACACTAAAAGTCTGTATAAAGGTCTGAATTATGTTCTTTAGCGTTGCAGTGAAAATACTTAAGTCCGATTTTCTAGAGAAAGTTGTATAATGGCCCGTCTTTTAAAATCTAGTTTGATTTTTTGCTTGTTCTGTTCTTGACTGATTTACGGACACTACTAAAGCTAAATCACAGCTTGTTCCATTCCATGAGCGTGATGTGCACGTCACCAAGTTCTTAGGCAATTTAATGCAATCGGAAAAAAACCCCCAACAAACTGATTCTGAAGCAAAGCATGGTACACATGAAAGTGACTTCCCACATTCCAACAATAGTGCGAAATTGTAACCAAATTGCTCAATCACAAGAACGGGAAGATTAAGGGCACCATCAAGGTTTAAGGGCACCATCAAGGTTTGCCTTGCATCTGTCACCCCCAAACCCCTAAAAGCACCGGCTTGGCTGGCCCTGGGTTCCTCTCACCGTCACTGCACTTATACTGGCAGAGTCCGTCCTCGCCTCCCAGGAGGTCCAAGGCGGCGTTCAGGTACGTGTCTATCTTGTGAACTCCATTCCGGATGGTCTTAAGGGTGGCCCGCCAGTCGGTGCTCTGGGCCTCCTCCTGGCACTCGAGAGAGGCTACCAGGAGGATGATCAGGAACGAGAGTGCGCACTGCAGCCGCGAAAGCCGAGCCATCCATTCAGCGCCAGGTCCCCCGGAGACCCCGGGACTCCTGGGGCAGCAGCTCCGACCCGAGGTTACGCCGCCGGCGGCTCCATTGCCGCGCCTCCTCCCCAGCAATCTGCGTCTCCCCTGGGATTCGGCGTGGAGACGGGGCCGCCGCGCAGGCGCGCGCTCACGTGCCCGCGCTCACCTGGGTCGCGGCCGCCGGTCTGCGCCTGCGCAGGAGCGTGCGGCGTCATTGGCGCGCCCAGGCGCCTACAAACCAGTAGGTGTCTGCTCTTCCTCCTCGAGGTTGCGTCATAAACTGCTTGGTTCTAAACCCTGACATTAGGATTACACCTGGAGCTAAAACCCACCCATGAATGGGCTTATCCCTCGCCTAGGAAGTCTGATTAAGTTGAGCCGAGGTGGCACTACACATCAGTAGTTTTATAAAGGTTCCCAAGTGATCTGGGTATCATTCAGCCAAAGTTTGTACTTCGGTGACCTAATCTGTTTTAAACCCCAAAGGACAAAGATCCCTGATGTGAAACAACTTGAGAGGCTTGAACTCCAGTGTTTGTTACTGAGTAGGAACCAACCTTCAGCGGATTTCCAGAAGCAGTAAATAGCGGGGAAGGAGTCCATCCTTACTCTGTCGTGTTGATCAGTTGGTGCCTTGAAATTGTGTGCCTTTGGAAAGCAGTGCAGCAGCTTCTGCCACTAGACCACCAAAGCTCTAGTTGTTAGGTGCCATTGAGTCGAGTAGACTCATAGCCACCCTATGAACAAAAGATTTTAACCTAGTCCTGTACTGCACCATCCCCACACTTCCTGACACATGAGAACCCATTACAGAAGTCACCGTGTCAATCCACTTGATTGAGGGTCATCTTCTCCTTCGCTGACCCTCCACCCTTTCCAACATCCATCGTGTCCCTCTCCAAGGATAAGATCTCTTAGCAACATGTCCAAAGTATGTGAGGCGAAGCCTCATCCTTGCTTCCAAAGAGCACTCCAGCTGCACCTTCTCCGAGACATACCTGTTGATTCTGTCCATGGGACGTTGCCTGCTCTTCAACACCACAGCTCAAAGGCATCAATTATCTTTCCGTCATTCTTACTCATTTTCCAGGTCCCGGATGCATAGCTAGTAATCAGAAAGACTATGGCCTAAATGAGACTCACCTTAGTCCTCAAACTGACATCATTACTCCTCAATAATTTGGAAAGGTTTCTAAGTGCAGATTTTCCCAGTGCAATGGGAAAATCTTATTTCCTGACAGCTCGTACCAAGGGTGTTAATTGTGAATCCAAGCAAGATGAAGCTGTTGACAGTTTCAATCTCCTCTCCATCCGTCATGGCACTACCTATTCGTTCAGTGGTAAGAATCTTTGTTTTCTTGATATGGAGATGCAATCCATACTGAAGTCTACATTCCTTGATCTTCTGCAACAAGTGCTTCAAATCCTCCTCACTTCTAGCAAGTATGCTTGTGTTATCTGCATAATGCAGGTTATTGATGAGTCTCCCTCCAATCCTGATGCCATATTCCTCTTCATAGAGTCCAGCTTCTTGGATAATTTGCTCAGCATATAGATTGAACAGGTAGGGAGATAGAATACATCTCTCATGCACTCACTTCCCAGTTTCAAACCATGCAGTGCTCCCCCCCTGCTTCATTCACACAACAGCCTCCTGCTCCAGATATAGGTTCCTCGTGAGCACAATCAAATGCTCTGGGATTCCCATTCTTCTCATTGTCCACCACAACTTGTCATGATCCACACTGTCAAATACCTTTGCATAGTCAATAAAGCACAAATAGACATTCTTCAGGTATTCCTTATTTTCAGCCACGATCCATCTGACATCAGCAATGATATCCCTGGTGCCATGGTCTTTTCTGAATTCTGCTTGAACTTCTGGCAATTCCTTATCTATGTTCCTAATGGCAGTTCCAGCTTTTTTTTAGTAATCTTCAGCAGTATTTTGCTAGCATGTTGTATCAATGATATTGTTCAATAATTTCCACATTCAGTTGGATCACCCTTTTTGGGAACAGGAACAAATATAGACCTCTTCCAATACATTGGCCAGAAAGCCGTCTTCCAAATTTTCTGACATTGAGGTGAGTGCATCCAAGGCTGCATCTGTTAATTGAAACAAGTCAATTGATATACCATCGATTCCTGGGGCCTTATTTTTTGCCAATGCCCCAGTAGTCCCCTATTTTTTTTACTAGTTTGTGCATTCTGAAATTGACAGAACATGCAATCAAGATGCATTAATAATTGACAACTGAAACAAAAAAGGACTGTTGTTATCTATACTTGGACCAGGTGGCAGTCATCAGAACAGAGCAAAGAATCATTGCATTGTTCAAAATCTGTAAAGGAGTGTGTCAAGGATTCATCATGTTTCCATACCTTTTTAATCTGTATGCAGAGAAGATAATTTGAAAGGCTGGACTTTATTAGGAGGAATGTGGCATCAGGATTGGAGGAAGACTTAACAACCTGCATCATGCAGATGACACAACCTTGCTTGCTGGAACTAAGGAGGACCTGCTCTAGTCTCCAATATGGACTGAAGCTCAGCATCATGAAAACTAAGATTCTTCTCACTGGGCAAATTGGCAGCAACATGATAGATGGGGAAGAAATTGAGAATGTTAACAATTTCAGCTTTCTAGGTTCCACATCAGTACTCTTGGCAACAGCTGTCAAGAAATCAAAAGATCAAGTGCATTAGGAAAATCTGCTGTCTGGGACCTCTTTAGAGTGAAGAGCAATTATGTCAGTCTGGAGACTAAGGCCATGGTCTTCAAAATTACTTGCTGTGCATCAGAAAGCTGGACAATGACCAAAGATGACAGAAGAAATGATGCCTTGGAGGTGCTGGAGAAGAGTACTGATATACCTTGGACTGCAAATAACACTAACATATGTCTTGGGAGAGAGTGAAACCAACTTGTCCCTTGTAGGCAAGGATTTTGAGACTCAGTTTTACATACTGTGGGCATATCATTGTCAGGAGGGATCAGTCCTTGGAGAAGGATATCATGCTTGGAAGGGTGGAAGGACAGTGCAGGAGAGGAAGATTCTGGATAAGATGGGTTGACACAGTAACTGGAGTAATGAGGGGGAGTCTGTCAGAAATGGTGAGATTGGCTCAGGATAGAGCAGGGTTCAGAGCTATCGTACATAGGGTCGCTGTAAGCCGCGGTCAACTCGACAACACATAACAATATCAACAGTTGGAAAACATGATAAAGTGGTGGTAGAATTAAGACTGGAAATTGCATGACAGAATTTGGTATAATCTCTATGATTTTTAGAAAACATATACTGCAACTGTGTGTATGGTCCTCACATAATAGACTACACAGGATCAAGACCCTTAAAGAAGATCTAGTTGGATTTGGGGCATCTCAACTTTTTGTTCTACTATCTGCTGTGGCCAGAGGGCAGAACAGAAGCCAATAAAAGTCAATCCAAATGTCATAGTATGATGTCTGTCTTTGCTTATTTTGGAATTTCTGGATGGAGGTGGTTTGACAGTAAAAAAAAAAACAACAAAAAACCCAAAACACAAACAACAGTTTTCTTTTCTGGCAAGAAAGAAGTAATGCTCTGCATTTGAATGCAATAAAAATTCTTAAAGATATGGTTTCCTACTCAAGGCATTTTGTAACTTGATAGCTTCCATGACGTTTCTCTCTATTTTTTCCCAGGGATAGGCAGGATCTTTAAATAACAATTGTGGTAATTTTTACCAGGGCTATAAATATCTAGTTATCTTTGTATCCTAGAATATCTTGCAAATTTTACCCAGTGAGACCTAGTGAAGAGCTGCAAGTGTTAGGAATAAGTATTCTCTTTCTTTAAGAATTACTAGTGTGCTAATATATTGCAACTATCCCTCCTACAACAAAAAGCATGCTAACAACAACAAGAATTATTAGTGGGGGCTAGTTTGTCCTTTTGTGTTTGTTACAAACCTTGAGTTTATAAGAAATACGTTCTATAGTTGTTGTTGTTAGGTGCCTGTCTTTGAGTTGATTACTACTCCATGAACAATAAATAGAAACCTTTATCCTATAAGTACTCTACAGAGTTCATAATTCCCGTCCTTGTTATTATTTTTTTTAAAATACAGTCTTTCTCCTTGTTAGTATTGAGAATTACACTGAGACACTTCATTTTACATGATCTCTCACATTTTGAGCACTCTTTTTATGGAGTTTTGGTGGCCTTCTCAGTAGGAAATTGCACTAATTCGCATCTCCAGTGGTTCAAATCCACTTGCAACTCCAAAGGAGAAAGATGGGCAATCTCCTGTGTGATTATAGCCTCTGAAAACCCACTCGAGGGTCAGTTCCAATTTGACAATGAATTGAGTTATGTTTTAGGGACATAAATAAATCCACCTTTGGGTGGATTAAAAACAGATGGTTCTCTTCTCCACAGAATAATGTAGTCTCACCTAAAATGAGTTAGCAAAGAATCATTGGCCTTGAGTCTGAACTTAATTCCTCAACCAGGTTGAGCTGTGATCAACTTGGACCAAGTGGAAGAAGGGGACCCATATGCCAGGGGAGATATCACTGATTTATATAACAATGAGGAATTAAGGTGCAGAAGAGTTACTGGTGAAACCAAGGTCAGTGATTATTTTTGGACACCATCTTTTAATGCATTCTGAAAAGAAAAAGAACTAGCTTTCTAAACATGATTTTTGCATTTCTAAAGTATAGATGAATTAGATTACTTATGAGGCTCACAAGTCTCACCACCAGAAATTCTTAAATAAGGCTAGGTTTCTCCAAGCTGCTCTCCAGAGAAACTCCCTGACCTAGGAATCCTATAAATAAAACAAAGTCCGTTGCTATCAAGTCAAATTATTCATTGTTTTTGTTGTAAGAGAAATATCCCATAGGGCTTCCAAGGCTGTGACCTTGGAAGCGAAACATAATGGAAGCAGATTGCTGCATCCTTCTCCCCGAAGTTAGTGGTTGGTTGAACTCCAGTGTTGA